TTTTACTACAATAGTTTTTCGTATTCACCATTCCCAATGAATTACCAACTAGTTATGTCCTCGCGCTTTCGGAATTTTTGAAAGTAGTTTTCTGTCTCACTCGAGTCCTATCTCACCCATTGGGCTCATGTGCTAGCTTCTTTAGCGGGAACAACCACTATACAGTCACAACCCAGTGCCATATACGTAATACCAAACATACAAGTACCTTCTCCATTGGCGGACCTCACTTCCCATATCTCTTGCTCAACCTGCTCCTCCATTGTGCTGCCGCGGCGGCATGTCCTCCACCCTCGCATCCTCCTCGCACCCTCCCTCAACCACACCCTCCGCGCCTTCTGCGCCTCCCCGCCGCCACCCGCGCTGTCCCTCCCCTCCGCCCCTCCCGACCAACCGGGCGGAGGCCCCCGCCGGGCGGCGATTCTAATGGCCGATTAAGTCATGACGCTATCAATGTAGATTGCCTGATAAATCTGATATGAGGCGGCGGTGGCGGCGGCGGCCAGCTGCCGGCCGGCCCGACCGACGCGCCCGCTCAGCAGTTACCCGCACAATGACCCTCCGCCGCCCTCGCGGGCCGCTCCTCCCCCCCCCGTACCAACTCCTCCCTCCAGCACGGCACGCTGACTTCTCTCGCCCCTCCCCCTCCCGTCCCACTCCGCCCACCGCATGTGTCTTATCTTATCTCGGGGGTTGTGCAAGGTGCCCCTTATTTGAGTGACCAGAAGAGTAGCGCGTGACCTTTCGTGACACATATATGGATTAAGCCGCACAAGTGTTTTGTACTATAATTTAGTATACTGCCCAACAATTTTTCAAGTGTTAGAGAAGTTGTATTTTAATGTAAGATAAAATAACATTTAATTATTGAAAAATATAGTATGCCATCAGGCTTAGTGCTGAACCCACGTTCTGTTTGAATGATTTAATTTTTTTCTTTTGGTAATTAATGAAAAGGAATAATGTGAATATTAAAACTTATTTTTAACTGAAAAATTAACGGTGACAATAACTTAGCGAAACATTTTATTGAAAACCTCCTTCTCTACGAGTTGAGAACATTCGACAACGAACAGAGACATTGTAACGAGAGAAATTCATGAACTAGGTCCCATTTTTTGTCAAACGCAAATCTTCTCGCGTTCGGTAGCCCAATACCGAAGTGTCACCGTAACTATCTCGATAGCGGCACGCGCCAGTATCAAAAACGTCCTCCACCGCGGCGCAATTCTTTTGTTTTGCGCCACCATATAATCCGTCGATCGTTATCGGCGCATGTCTGGGAACGGGCCCCGTGCGGCTGCGCGCTCCTACTGCGGCCGGTCGGTCCGACGTTCGCCCCAGCCCCTGCCACTGCCCCGCCCCCGCTCCGCGATCCTCCGCCCTCTAACCGCCCCACCCTCGGGCAAGCTCGGGATTAACAAAATTTTTTCAAAGCGCTCGATGGGTACAAAGCGGGCGGGAGACGAGGGGGCGGGCCGGGGGCGGATGGGTGAGGTGGAGGCGCGGGGGCGCGCGCTGCCAGCTCATCTGGCGGATGCGGCGCAACGCGGTCTCGCCTCGTTGCCTCGCCACCCGCCCCCGTCTCCCATCCCCGCCCGCCGAGCTCTTCCGAGCCCTCAGAGCCTCCGACCGTGTCTTTCTCTCCCTTCGCCCCCTCCCCGCCCTCGTCCGTTCCCAGGCGCCTTCGTTCTCGCCGCCGCCGCCGCCGTGCTGCCTCCCTATCCTCTTGACGTTTTTTAAGTCAGTCTAACAAGTCGCTGCGCAGCCCCCTCGTCGGCCCTTCAGCGCGGC